ACGGTAGCCCTTCAAAGTACAATCTCTGGCTGGAGTCTATGAGAAGCATTTGCTTCCTGACCAAAGTAAACATAACTGTCAACTTTTTCCAAGTCAAAGTCGTCGCCCCAAAATTTTCTGTTAGTATTTGCCGTCCGTCCGATGCATATGCGCTATACTGCATTACATAATTAATTTAATCATAACTCCCACTAACTTCAGTTACCATAATCGTCGTACTGCCGAAGTCCAATTGTGGTAAGGGTAAGAAATGTGTACGACTTAGAAGACCGAAACACTTTTTAACATTACGATTTTCCTTCATTTTCATTCTGGTGCAAAATACATCATAATGGAAGGAATGAAAAAATCCTAACAAATTTTCCAATTTTCTTTTCTCGCCTTTTTTTTCTTTCTTTTTATTTCATTCTTTCTTGTTATAACTTTCTATTTACAAAAAGTAGACAAAAACTAAGCAAGTCACATAAGCAGAAGGGAAAGAAAATAGCTGAAGCAAGATGAAAACTTCAAAAAAAAAGAAATCTCAAAAAACCGAACTTGACGGGCTGCTGATACACTACGATCTGTTCGAGCGGCTCGCTGGAATGAAAAACGTATTGGTGAAAAGATATCTTCTTCTGGGATATAGCCACACTGCGCCATTGCTTTGAACAGCTCACCTTCAACTGTTGGTTGATCTTTTTGCACCTGAAAAATAAAAATTTATGTTTCTTTGCTCCTGAGTGAGGCAGAAACGATGCCGGCTACCTCGCACTGGTTTCCGAACTAGCCAACAGCATAGGGTTACCTTGTGGTGGGCTTAGGATGGCAAATCACCCCGCCAACACAACTCTCGTCCTCCTGGCTCGAAATTCAAGCTTCTTCGAAAGCCAACTTATCAAAATTGGTCGATGATGTCTTCATTTTTCTAACACAGCAAGTTATGAATATATATATATTTTTTTTTTTCGCTGTCAACTATCTGGTCAATACCATTGTTTCTGACCCATCTTAACCACTCTTCACTTTCTAGTTTATAAAGTTAATTGCGCAACTGTTGTGACACATGGACAGGGAAAATTCCGTTAAAATTTCAGCCTTCCAGCTTTTCTGATTCCCGAATTAATCGCTCTTCACCTTCGCTTTTGTTCTGCCCCACCAGGACTTCCCGCGGTATTTTCCCAGATGGTCTAACTCGCCCATCGAGAGGAAGCGCTAGTGCTGCAGTAGGATCATCTTAAAACAGTATCACAGGAAGTCCTGACCGATTAGAACATAA